TGTCTCTGTCTCTCTCTCTCTCTCTCTCTCTTTCTCTCTCTCTCTCTCTCTCTCTCTCTCTCTCTCTCTCTCTCTCGTCAAATAGAAAAAAAAATTATTTTAAGAGTATTTTAAAAGGTGACATTTGGTGCATATTGTGCTTAGAAGCAATTTTCATGTATAACTGCCTGAAATATTACTATGTACTTTCTGAGGAAATGGCTTTTTTGAAAACAGCTAAAAGTTTGCCCACCCCTGCTCTAACCACTTAGAAACATGGACCAGGGCAAATTGGATCACTTTTAACATGTGTATATACCATGGCAACATCACCACAATTAGGGTAGCAAACATTTCCATCACTCCCAGAAGTTTCCTAGTGCCCCTTTGCAGTCCATCCCTCCCCCACTCCATCTGCAGACAATCACCAGTCTGCTTTCTGTCACGGTAGATTACGCCAACCTGATAGTTCTCAAAGTATATGTACTAAAATTTACAGCTGAGCAAAAATTAGAAATTTGAATTTTGCTTTCCCAAAGTCACCTCATTAACATAAACTCAGATGTGATTGAAAGGGGTTTGTTGTGAATGTCAGGACACCTTTATCAATCTCATCACTTAGGAAATTCAAAGAGTTTTAGGAAATCAGTGCCAGAAATGAGGACAAAAACCAAATATATATTTCTTATTATAAATCATGATTTCACAAGAACATAAGGCACATCATCCCCTTTGGGGACTCAAGTTCATGATGGTTTATGTGGTGATAGCTCATCTGAGACTGGCAAGCACATTTTAACTTCTTATTTAAAATTCTTACCTAGCATCTACCCTAAATACTCAACACCCCTGTGCTAACTGACTGTTATTGAAGAATAAAGGTATTGACCTGCTCAGTTGGTTGGAGCATTGCCTCATGCACCAAAAGGTCGCCGGTTCAATTTCCAGTCAGGGCACCTGCCCAGGTTTCGGGTTCCATCCCTGGTCAAAGTACGGATGGGGGGGTATGGGAGCCAGGTGATCAATGTTCCTCTCTCATATTGATGTTTTTCTGTCTCTCTTCTAACCATTCATATTCCACCTTAGAGCATGACTTTAGATTATCATTATTTTTCATTTAAAATTTCTGTGTTTAGATTTACTAAGCTTTTACACTGTATTGCTTGATTCTAGCTTTGAACAATATTTTGAAAGAGTTTATTTCCATGGGAAGTTTGGTTGCACTGATTGCCACAAGCCAGTCTCAACATTCCCTGCATCCTTCACTTGTTTCTCCTCAGGGAATTCACATATTTCAGTGTGTCCAGCATATCCATCCTCCTGATCAGGTAACATACTGCTTGTGAAAATTGTTGAAGTATATCCTTTATGTAAGTTGTTTCAATTTTATTGATTTATGGCTCTATGCTTATGTTAGTAATCTTAAGAATATTTTAGA